AGATAAGCGGTTCAGTGGGGCTGCCTTGGCTGTTTCCTCAGCCGAGCGCCCCTCCAGCTGCACACGACCAAGCCGGCGTCGGGCCTAGGAAGCTGCCAATGGCCGGAGCCCAGCACTCCCAGGAGCCCCGGTGGAGGGGAGGTGGAGATCCTGGCCACCCCACGCACTGGCTGAGGGCAGCCTCCACCAACTGCAGGCAGCACCACCGGGGACCTGCAAGGACGTGCTTCAGCTTCTCCGAGGGGCTGAGACCACTTTGACGGCCTGCCCTCTGCTTCTGCCCAAGGCCTTGGGGCGTAAGAGGCCAGCCCCCAGAGGGCTGGGGCTGTTTTCTGGCGGCACCTGCCCCACGGGGCCTCCTGGGCATGAAGGCCTAGAGGGGCACAGACTGCCCAGGTCTGGCCTCCAGCCTGCCTGGCGAAGGAAGCCCCGGCCTCTGGTGAGAGGAGCCTCCGGCGAGCTCTGCCCCAGCTTCCCAACAGGCCAGTCCTGGTCAGAGGAGCCGCCTGGCCAGGCTGGCCCCTGGGGGAGCTGAGTAAGGGCAGCTGCGGCCGCTCTTCCTGTCCCCTCCCCTTCGGCTGCCTCACTGAGGACAGGCGCAGCAGGAGAAAGCCAGCGCAAGGGGGGCCCAGCCAGACTCGCAGGGCCTGGGCATTCCATTCACACCCAGCCCCCCCCCCCGCAAACTGCGCAGGAAGCCCTCCTCCCCTTCAAACTGGAGGTATGGCGTTGGTCCTGGGCAGGGCAGGGCAGGGCAGGGCAGGGCAGGGCAGGGCAGGGCCACTTAGGGCACCAGGGCCAGCAGCCCTATTCCCACCCACCCTGTGCCCCTTCCTCTTTCTCTCCAGCGCTTCAGCCCTGACGGCCAGAGGGCCATCGGCCCCCTTCCGCTTTCAAATCTGCATCAGACACATTTGGATGTTTAAAAGAATTTAATCCCTGCAGATAGGATCGTCCGGGGCAGCAGGGGGAGAGCAAGCCCAGGCCCTATGGAGCCTGCTAGGGTCTGCCCCACAAGTGGACGCATGCCCACTGTTCCCAAGGGCGCAGGAAATGCTTTTTAGGCACATACAGAAAAGGCAAGGGCCGCGCCCAGGCTTCTCCCCCACCCCTCCACAATTAACAAAGACACTGAAGACAGCTCAGCGGGGACCTCCAGTTGAAGCTGAAAGCGAATGGGCGGGACAACAAAAGCCCCCTCCCAGCACACTGCTTCTGAGAAAAAGGGAGAGGGCCCCTTTGGAGAATTGGGGGGGCTGGCAGCTTCTTCCCCTACTGAGCAGAAGAGTGCTATGGGGGTCTCCGGGGCCTGCCACAACCCCCCAGTGGAGAGGTGAAAGCAGCCCTGCTGCTCGCCGAGGCTGCCAACCTCAGACACCAAGGAGAGCTGAGGGAGACCCAGCTGCCCGAGGAACGGGGTGGGGGCAGAAAGGTTATTCAGACCCAGTGGAGAACCTCCTGGCACCACTAGACAGCAGACCCACAGCCAGCCGTCTCTGCCCAGACGGGAGCAGGAGCAGTGGCCAGAGGGATAGGGCTGCAAGACAGCCAGATGCCCAGGCCGCCTCTTACCCTCTACCGTCCAAGCATGCCCAGCTAAGGCATGATCCCCAAAGCGGCCAATTTGGGGCCCCGCCGCTCAGGGTGGCAACGCCCCTGCTCTGCCCTCTTCCCAAAGCCTGGCAGGCATTTGGACAGCCTGAGTTGTGTGCTGGGGGAAACCCAGGCAACTCTTGGCAGGCCCAAGGCCTTCGCTCTCCTGGAGGGGCAACGCGGCTCCGCCGAGCCCATCTTCCTCTCTCTCTCCACAGTCACTGCAGCACACAGGAATCCTCCCCGTCCTCAGCAGCACTGGGGGCCTGGGGGCTCTCCCCTTGACTTGAGAGGGGGGCAGGTAACTCCGCATCTCCTGCCAGCTTCCCACGCAGCTCCATCAGCAAGTCCCGGCTCTCGCTGGGGGGCAAATTGGTCAGGAAGTACTGGGGGGCTAGTTCAGCCACGCTAGAGTCAAGGAAGAGTTGGACCAAGCTGAGCGCTGGCGCATGGCACGGAATCCGCTTTGCCCCTCGGCCACCCAAAGACACTGTGTTCCACACCTCTGGGAGGGAGGGAGCGAGCACAGAAATGCATGACTTTGCCCCCGCCCCCCAGGTCCCCAGTGGAAGCTTACAAGTCTGGCTGGATCTCAGAGACAATCCTCAGGCAGTTGTCCTGGGAGATGGTGAACTCGTGGTACAGCCCCCAGGAGGGGGGCCGTGGGGGTGGGTGGCGCAGCCGGTAGCAGCAGCCGGGGGGCAGCTGGGCCAAGTGCTTGTGCGTCAGCAGCAGGTAGTTGCCTGAGCCATCGATGTCCCGGGCGACCTGCACAAGGGGAAAAGGGTGGGCTCCTCAGACGGGGGAATACTCAGGGGCACCTTCGAGTGTGCCCAAGAGCCAGGCTGCAGCTTGAGGAAAGCAAAGGAAGGGCCGCAGTGGCCCCAGGCAAGGGAGGGGCCGTTCCACCATTTCTCCCCAGCCGGCTCTGGAGCACCGATGCAGTAAGCCTGGAAAGGGGGAGGGTCATCTCCATTACTTCAGTAGGAGAGTCAAACCCCTCAGTTGGGTGAGGTCAAGACCTTGTGGCAAGGGACCTCTGGAAGCTAGAAGAGCAAACCCCCCGCCCAGTTGGGATACTTTGAAATGCTTCCTCTTTGACTGGGCTGAGTCGCTTCCTCCCTCTTGATGGCAGAGCTCCACTCCCACCTGCCCCGCTGGAGAGGAATCTGCCACAGGGCTTCCATCGGCCCTTCCTGGGACCACAGCTCTGGCCCCGCCTTGGGTCTCCTCAAAGGCTCTTGCTCTGCCTGGTGAGCAGCTAGGCCTGGCCCTCCCCTCTGCAGGGACCCTGCTCCTGCTTCAGGACACCCACGTCTCCTGAGCGGCGGCAACAAGGCGTGCCAATCTTCCTTGCCTGTAAACTGGGGCGTGCCAGGAGCTCTACCTTGAGAAAGAAGCCCGTGAGGAGGGCTCGTTTCAGCTGCAGGATGTTGCTGTTGGTGCCAAAGGCCGGTGGGGAGACCGGAAGCTCAATTCGCTGCATCACGTCCAAGAGCTCTGTCCGCACGGCTCCGGCCAGCTGCAGGGCTGCCTCGCTTATTGCGTGCTTCCGGCACCAGCTTTCTGGGTCGCTCTCTAAGAAA